AAAAAAAAAAAAAAGACCATCTGGCTCAATATCTGATCTTTCTAAGTGAAAAAGCTTATGCCCCTGGGCTGGGGCTATAGCTCAGTGGTAAAGTACTTGCCTCCCATGTGTAAGGCACTGGATTCAATCCTCAGCATCACATAAAAATAAATAAAAGATACTCTGTGTTCATCTACAAGAAAAAAAAAAAAAAGCTTATGCCCCAGAGATCAGGGTTAACCATCATGTAAACCAACAGTACCATGTAGCCGCCACCTAAAGTATTCTACTTCTTACCTCTGAACCCATAGATTACCTGAAATTTTTTATATACTAGATCTTAATAATAGTGGCCCCCTAGATTTCCATGAATACGAGTTGTATATAGAATGGGAGTTTAAAGAAAAGGAGTATGAATACTTTTAAATTTCAGGACTTCCTTGTATTTATATTGTATCTAAATACCAAATAGTAGATACTCTTAGTATTCATAACATCATTAAGAAAGTGGAGGCCCACTTTTATATTCCTTTTGTGGGAGACAAAGTGGCTTAGTCTTCTGGTTTATTCATCCCTCTTATTAAATTCTCTTTTATCTAAAATTATGACAGGTCTGCCTTTGAGGAGGTAAGAAAAATTTTAGAGTCTACAAACAATGTTACATCAAGTGAAATTACATACTAAATTCAAAAAACAATTTAAAATTCATGTAATAATTTTTTCTGCATGCACTTTTAAAACTAATAGCTGCATACACCTAAAAAAATTAAAAATTACTTAACTGGCATATACATTGTAAATGAATATCTCATTTAAGAACCAAATGAGGTACAATGTACAAATTTGAAAATGCAATTAAGCACTGGACAGACTATCTTATTGCTGGCATTACGACTTCACAGGCTGGGGATGTGGCTCAAGTGGTAGCGCGCTTGCCTGGCATGCGTGCGGCCCCGGGTTCCATCCTCAGCACCACATACGATTTCATAACATTCTCTTTTGTTCTGATATATACTTAAAAACTAATAAGGCAAAACTTTATGGCAAATAGTCTGATTTACAGTCCAACTATGGTAGTCAAAGGAGATAACAAGAATTACCTAAATCCTATCACCAGTTTTACTAAGGCTGTGAGGACAGTCAAGGACATTAAGGAATTTCAAAGGTAATAAAGATTTTTTTTTTGCGGGGGGGGGGGGTTTAACCAAACAATCAGTATTTCACACAGTTCTAATAAGGGCAAGGTCACAATCTATCTTTATATGGTCAAATTAACTTTGAAGAGAACTTCATTCTAACATCGATTAGCACTGTCTTCTTTGGAGGAAAAAAGAAAAAGTATTTTATACTCTTAATTCTGTAGTCTTTACAGACAGACCTATAGCAGCATTTGCAGAGTAGGGAGTATCCCATCCATCACTTGTTTTTCAAGTTATTTCTCTTACCTACTCGGTAATAAGAAACAAGAAGGAAAAAGATGACCAGGATCCAAAGCAAAAACAGCACTCTGTCCCATGCCCTCTCCAAGTCTTATTATTTCCAGGTGTTCTAAGTAGCGCGGACAGAAATGAGTTCTACTTCCGCTCCTCCTAACCCCTTTCCAATTCTCTGAAGAGTGCAAAAGCAGTTTAAAAAAAAGCGGGGGCCTGGTCTGAAAGTGGGTAAGGGATGTTAGGAGCAAAGCAGGGAGTCGAAAAACCAGACCTTTGGTTAAAAATAACTCCAGCTGCAAATTCCTAGAATTAAGCTATCAAAGGCCTGCAAAGTCTGACACTGGGAAAGCCCAACAGGCTTTCCCTAACTCCAAAAAAACGACCTTTAAAGCAAGGAAGACCACAGTCTCCGGATTTCTAATTGAGGAAAGTTTAAACACTTTTGCTCCTCAGGAACGAGGGAAGGGAAGTGAGGGCAAGTCTGGGCTCGGCTAAGGGAGCGCGCAGGGTCCGCACGGTGCGCGGCTGGCGGTCCAACGCGGGGAGGCGCAGGGATTCACGGCAGCAGCGATTTCATCCACCTGGGAGAGCAGACCAAGAGCTAAAGAGTCTGGCGCGAAGCGGCCGGGGTCCCGGGCTCAGGTCTGTGCCAGGACGCCAGGGAGGGAGTGCGAAGCACGGCGGGGGGTCTACTTACTCGGCTGTACCAGATGCTGAGGCGGGCCGGGGCCAGCACGGCGAAGAAAGCCCTCTGAGGGTCGGACTGAACGTGGAAAGGAGCCTCGGCCGGACTCCCTGGAGGGCAAAGCAGCCTCTTGGGCCAGCCGCTCAGGAAATACATGGTCCGAAAGAAGGCACAGATGCCGGAGCCCCTGGCGGCCCCCGGCCCGGTCTGTCACACTCAGCGGCCGCGGGCCGGTCTCTCGCCTCCCACACCGCCACCGGCCGAGACGGCGGTGGCAACGGCGGCAGCTCGGGGCATCTGCCCGCTGGCCTGGCCGGGCCAGGCTCGATGCTACACGACGAAGGCACCCCCGCGCTGACGGGGCCGAAGACGGGGGAGGGATGGGGAGGGAGAGTCGGGACCCAGAGAGGGCGGGAGGAGCGTAGAGGCCCGCCCCGGCCCCGCCCCTTCCTCGGGCCGCGCGGGCGTCACCACGCCGCGCCGCGTGGGTCGGCGGGGACGGCCGCTGCGCGCGCGCGCGCGCTCTGGCGACTTCTCCCCTCCCCCTTGCTGGTTTCTGAAGCTCCGCCCCAATCTTCATTGGCGGCTGCCACGCTGCGTCCACACGCCTGTGATTTAACTTTGTTCTTGCTCGACTGCACCTCCCACTTGCAATTTGGAGCTTATGGTCAGGGGCGGGGCTCAGGTTGACAGAGTTGAGAGAGAACATGGGGACCGAGCACCTCGGCGCGCGGAACACGCCCTTCGCCTGGCCAAATTTGACTTCCTCTCTGGATTGGTGGGGCCTCCAGTGGGGGCGGGCCCAACGCTGCAACGCCCTGGGTGGGGGTTGGGGGGTGACGGCACCCTCTCGAGTTCCCATCTTAAGGTCACGGCAGTCGCCTGGGAAAGGGTAGAGCTGTGTATCCAGTGAGCACCTTTTGCGTACCAGGCAGGGTCAATGTAGAGAGCTGGTGATGAGGTTCCTATCTTTATGGTGCTTACGTCCTAGACAGGACCTTTACTCAATTAGAAAATAAACCACCTTACCATGAAAGTATTTGAGTTATGTCCTCTGCACTTCAGGAATTCAGTTTGCATTCTTTCCCTCTACCAACTCTGTGAGACAAAGACAAGACTGTCTCTTTTACTCTCACAATAATGTTCTGCAAAAAACAGGAACTTAAATTTTAGAGCTGAAACGGGCTACAGATAATATAGTTTGGTATTTAACTTGAGTCGGGAGAGGGGTGTGGAGTGGAGAAAGGGGGTTCTGGAATAGAAGACAGATTTGCTTCTCGTCTTTTTTTTTTGTGGTTTGAATTTGCCCATGTTTATATTAGTTTTTCAATTAAAAAAGCCAAGGTTTTAAAAAAATTAACCAAAATCTATTAGCAAAATTAAGAGCAAACAAGGAAACAAAGTAACAATCTGTATCAGATACAGCATTGAAGCTGCTATAACGAAACACGAAATTTTTCATAATTTCTCTAAACGTTAGCTGCATTCCGTAAAAGTGATAAAAAGAACTGTCTCACCACTCACCAGCTCTTGTGGTCAGACTGTGTCTCTTTCCTTGTGCTCTCCCGCCATCCCTGCCCCAACCAACAGAGCATAAACTTTGAAAATATTTGATAAGTGAAACACTGTATGAAATGCTGACCCAGCTGGATTACACCATTAGGCAAATAAAGAGGCCCAGAGGAGTTTTTTAAGTTACCAAAGTAAAATTGTAGAATAACAACAAAGTTGCATCATACTTTTCATCTTAGATTCCATTGTGTCCTTGGTAGAAAAAGAGAGGAAATTAAGTGTTAAAGGTGCAACAATTCCACTGGCAGTTTCACCGAGAAAGCATATTTGTCCCAGCACTTTCGGACAGTCTTTGTTCTCATGAGCTTCTTAAATGTGAATATCTTCCTGCACTCTTAAGCAACTTCTAAGTAATTTTTATTGTTCTCAATATTAACCTTACTTCCCAACTTTAATTCCCCTGCATCCTCTTTTGTAACATTTAAAATTTACAAAATAACTTTATATGCATGATTTAATTCCATAGTAAACTTTCAAGATAGGTAAGGTTGCTGGGATGTTGTTATTAATTTCTTAATAAGGAAATAGAAGCAGAGGGATGGATATGCCTATATTCACATGACCTGAAAAAGAAATTGATTTTCTACAGATCTAGTGATCTTTTGACGGGATTGTTTTGAATTGTGGTGGTGTTTCTGGTTATTGAAAGAGAGGGATGGAGACCTAGACCTTTCTCTCTGGGAGCATATTCCTTCCTCCCTCCCTCCCTCTCTTCTTCCTTCCTTCCTTTCTCTTTTTCTTTCTTCCTTCCATTCCTCCCCCTCTTCTCCTTACCTTTTTGTCCTAAATCTACTGAAAATATCACAGCATAGCAAACAGATTGAAATGACTCCATGTGATGTTTTAAAATTCAGTCTGAGTGACCTGCAGTTTAAACAGAAGTCTATTTCCTTGGTATGGGGATCTACTCCAATGATCTGATCCAGGGTGCATAATACAGTCTAATCAAACTTATTGAATTCTACCACCAACACTGTCTAGTCAAACTTATTGGACTCTATTCTGAGCTAAGACTCAAGTTGATAAACAAAAGTTAACAGTGCATATTTATACCTGTCAAACTAAGACTTTCTATTACAAGAAATCATGTTTGTAAGCGTTCATGGAAACAGGATCATGCATTTTTACTACACTTGTTATCATGGGCAACTAATGCATTAAAATTATTTTGTAAATTTTAAATGATACAAAGGGAGATGCAGGGGAATTAGATTGTGAAGTTGGGGAGTGAGGTCAAACTTGAAAATAATAAAAATTACTTAGAAGTTAAATTGCTTAAGAGTGAAGGGAGATATATACGTAGATATATATCGTGGATGGGAGAATAATTTGGTGCAATTTTCCAAAAGGATTGTTGGTGTTCTATATATAAAAAAGAGATCTTAAGGGGCTGGGATGTGGCTCAGGTGGTAGTGTGCTTGCCTGGCATGCGCGGAGCACCACATAAAAATAAAGATGAGTCCACCGAAAACTAAAAAATAAATATTAAAAAATTATCTCTCTCTCGAAAAATAAAATAAAAAAGATGTCTTAAAAATATGCATACATTTGGAACAAACTATTTCTTTCTTGTGCTTATTTTCTAAGTAAATCAATCCTGATATGTATAGAGTTGTAGCTTTGAAACTGTACCCCACAAAGGTGTGAGAGAAAATATTTGGTCTTCCAAAGGACATCAAGTATTATCCTCTTACAATGATATGTTTTGCAAAAAAAATTAAAAGTATGTTGGAAAGAATAATTTCATAGAAGTATATTTATTATATATTATAAAGTACTGAAAACAGAATAAAGACATAAAATATCCCCTGTTTGTAAAAAAAAAAAAAAAATGCATTTATATGCCTACCAAAAGAAGACAATTCACTAAATATTGGTGTTTAAAAAGCTCTTTGACTTTTGGGTGCTTAGTATGTCCTTCCTGGGATTTTTAATATTTTCCAAATTATAATGAATTCATGTTTCTTTTGTAATGAGAAAAAAAGTATTTAAAACAGTGAAGTTGTTCATGATTGATAATATCCCACATGGCTTGCTTTAAATAGGCCTTGCAGTTCTGGCAAATCAAAGGGAGTAATGTGGAGTTTCAGGCATAGTCCCAAGAATAGTGAGAGGAGGATTAGGAGAAAAAGGTCCCCTGAGTCACCAGACTAAAAGTAGGACCTGTGTACATTCATAGGCTTCTGATGACAGAACTGTGGCTGGATTTTTGGTTCTGAGACTACCACTTCTAATATTTGGGGATCTTTATAATAGCCTATGATAATATGCACTGAAGATGATACTAATTTGGTTTATGAATCTTTACCCCAGCCTCGGCCACAGCCTCCGCCTCCTCCTCCTCCTCCTACCCCCCTCCCCCTCCCCCTCCATCTTCTCTCTCTACCCC